AAAGATGAGACAACAAAGGCTCAGAGATGGTTAATCACTTACCCACTGCTTGGTACTTGCTACCAATGACATTCTCAGTAAACTGCCCTGTTGGAGTGAGTTAAAGGCAAAATGACAACCTTCTCTCTTTTAAAGTGGGGAAAGAGTTTACCAAGAATTAAATGAAAACAGCGATGTGGACTTAGGGACAGGATGGGATTATACTGTAGATAAAGGATAAATTATAAAGTATATAAAGGATATTATTTTCAGGGAAAATGAGACCAAATGCTTGTCCCCTCCAAGTGCCCTTAGGTACATATAAGAATCAGCTTGTTCTTGTTGTATGCCGTCAAGTTGGTTCCAACTCATAGCGACCTTTTATAGGGTTTCCGAGAGCGGTTGGTGGATTTGAACTGTCCATCTTGTGGTTAACAATACAATGCTTATCCTACAGCATTATGCCAGGGCTCAAGAAATAGATAAATGTCTTCTAGTCCTTTCCCTTGTTCTCATTTCCATGTGACTGTAAGTAATAAGGGAATTGGGAGCTAGTTCAGTGGGCTTCAAGTCGTATTCCATGAAGCCTCAGATGTTCTAGCAAAGAAAACCCCTGGAGATAAAAGGAGGGATTGGGAGGACTGAACCCCACTACCCTCCCTCACAGCACCCAAGAAGAGGTCCACTTTTATCTGCTTTGAACCTTGGGGTTCTTAGAAGAGAACACAAAACCAAACCAAAAGAAGTACCACCTCTAAAAAGAAAACTGAGCGCTATTGACTAGTTGGTTCTTCCTTTTACACTTGTGGAAACTGAGACTCTGAGTGAAGGATCCCCAGGCTTCTTCCCTTCTTCTTGCTAATGTGGTCTCCTCCCATTACCCATGATCCACCCTCTGATAACAGCTTGACTGACTACCCCACAGGCAGCCAGTTTCAAGGTCCCCAGCTTTTGCCATGGGCATGTTCCTTCAGTTCAGCTCACCAGCTTATCTGATTGTGTTTCTTCAGTCCTGGCTGCCAACAAGCTGGTGTCATCTAGAAAAGGTTGGTGGTTTGAGTCCAACCAGAGATACCTTGGAAGAAAGCCTCGGTGATCTATTTCTGGGAAAAGGAAAAACATTCTTTGAAAACTCTATGGAGCACACTTCTTTCCACTTGTGGGTTTCCTCGGTTTGGAGTCGACTTGACTCGTAGGAACCCTGTGTGTGCTGAGTAGAACTGCTCCCTAGGGTTTTTAAGACCGTGACCTTTTAGAAGCAGATCACCAGGCATGTCTTCCAAGGCACTTGTTGCTGTTGTTGTTAAAGTCATCAAATCAGTTCCGACTCATATTGTGTAGGGTTTCCAAAGAGCGGCTGGTGCGTTTGAACCACCGACCTGGCGGTTAATAATGACCTTGCGGTCTGGTGAATCTACTGGATAGGTTCAAACCGAGAACATTTTTACTGATAGTCAAATGCTTAACCCTTTGTGCTACTTATCTAATTACCAAAGAACTAGTTACTTTTCTTCAATTAGATTCTTTGCGAATATGAACTCCAAATATGAATATGAACCCCTTCGGGAGCTGGCCAAGTAACTTAGAATTGTAAATGGATAGATACACAATTCCATACCTGATCTGGAGCCAGGCTCCCCCTCAGGCAACAGCAGATGGTGCCACCGAAAAGCAAGGCACCTGAAAGAAAACTTTAAAACAATGAAAGAAGAGAGAGTTTTAAAACATTTTGACATTTATATTTCAAATAAAAGCACCTAAGAAGTCATTCTGAGGGGGAAAAAATCAGAACATTGTTGGATTTTCTTACACATTGTAATTTATAGTTCTCTTTCTTTCAAATTACATCTAGAAGTGTCACTTTTAATCCTTTCATCCTTAAGCCTCGGGTCTTTGACTGGGTTGACCTGGCTCATCCTGTAGGTTTCTCTCCTTGATGTGAGCGAAACCTGCCTTGAACAGTCCAAGCCTGGACTCGGCTACTTTTCTTTGGGTGATGAATTTGCCCCAGGTGAAGGGTACTCATGAAATAGCTGGAGAATGAAAGCCCTTGTCAACTCACCAAACAGGCTCAGTAGCTCAAACTCCACAGGGTCAACTTCCCCTATATAGGTGAAGACTGGCCTTCAGGGCTTTGCCCTTGAGTTCAACTCTCCTTTGGTTCTGCTTGACTCTTCTGAAAGAAGGCAGATAGTATTTGTGACTTGTTTGGGAACGCATTGAAGGCCCCCCAAGGTAATGCTTGGTATGGCTCTTCAGAAGAAATTCTAGCTGATTTCACTTGGGAGTATATATATATATATCTGTTTTAAGAAAAGAAGAACCCCCAAAACTGGAACTAAAAGATCAGTTATCAAGAGGCGTAATAGAAGGAATAAGTGTGTTTTCTGTATAATTTTTACTAAAATATTTTAAGAATTCATCTAAGGAAATTAGAAATGCTAGTATTTGTCTTTGTGGATGTGTGTCTGTGGCAATGATGTGTGATATTTGGTGACAGGGCGTGAAAGTATGTATAGAACGAAAGTGTGAATTACTAATATGTATATGTAATTGATGCATGTTCAATATCTGTGTTTGTGTGTGTTTTTCAGTGTGAGTGAGATCCAAATAAGAATGTGAGTATATAAATGTTTGGGTGGTGAAAAGGTTAATCACAGGCAACCAGAGCAGATGTTTTTATGAATTCTCAGATCTTTTAATAAATGCCTTGATTTTCTTCAGATACAAGGCAAAAAAGAGAAATGGGTTATTCTATTTTTCCCTTGGTAAAAAAAAATAATAAAAAAATAAATTGTATATATATATATATATATATATAACAGAGAAAATGCAGATTATCTGCTATGGGCTATATATATATATAATTATAAATATTAAGTGGGAAGTGATCAATTCCCATGTGAATGAGAAACATTAACTTTTCTATGAGGAAGTTTTCTGTCTTCATTGCTGACAGCCACTAGATCATTGCTTGATCAGATGACTAAAAACTTAAACCAAGGGTATAGGGAATTTTAGGGGTGAAACTTTAGTTCAAGAGAAATTTGGGGAGAAGGAGAAAGAAGTATGGATGATGTGGAAATCATGAGGTCACAGCTCAGTTTTCTTCTGATGAATTCCAAGTCAGAAAAGATGGTTTGGAGTGAGTTGCGGCTGCAGTTATATTATGGGCTGTGGTTTTCTGCAAAACAACTGGCAAAGGAGCTCAAAGACAGGCAACCAAAGCCACCACTGTCCAGGCACTTGTAACTCATGGTAACTTCATGAGTCACAGAGTAGAAGGACTCTGGTCGTGGCTGTAAGCAATGGGCCACGAGGGTGGCCAGCGTGGGTGAGTGGTCCTGCACCTGGAAAGTCTATGGGGCTGGCTGTGCCTGGCCTCAAGGTTGGCCTCCTCGGTGTCTGGGTGTGAGGGGTGGACTCATTGTCCTCCAGGACTGGGAAGGGGGCATGGTCAGTAGCTGGAGGAAGATGTAGCCTCCACTAGCCAGAAGAAATGGTCTGTTTTTGTTTTCCACCCAGTAGGAAATGGAACCTGAATCCATTCGAATCTGGCAGTTCAGCCCTACACAGTTTGAGCTCTTGAAGGCACGAAGCCTAAAAGACTACTGGTGAGGAGTTGTGTGTCCCAAGCACCATTGTGCAGCCTGCCCATCTTTTATGCATTTAAAGCCTGTCAAGTGGTAATCTAAAGCAGAGGGCTGGAAGACAGTAATGCCAACAGACACGGGGAATAGTCAAGTGCACCTGTAGAGTTAAAAATGCATGACCCTTTGCCTCAAAGAGGGAACACAGGAGAAAGACCCCGTCCTGGAGGGTAGCTGCTGAGCCGTAATACATAATTCACAGGCCCACGCTGCTCCATGCAGATGGCGATATTAAATCGTGATTGATGCTAGGAAAGGCACGCATCTCAGGAAGGTCTCCAAGCGGCTTCTATGCCTGTCTTCTGATGTGTTGTGGCATTAAGTAAAACCCCCTCTTCCCAAGAATCCCTCCTGGGAACTACAAAACTTGACGCCCCAATATATGAGATTTTTCAAATGTCATCACTCACCTCTGTGGCCTTTGAAGATGGCCCCCTTCCCTCCTGGCTCACATGATGCTGCTAACCTCCAGCCAGGTACTGCTGGAAAGGGGAGAGTCGGCTACTCCCCCGCAGCCCTGGCAAAGGGCTGGGACAGCACGATAAAACAGCAGCAGTAGCACACTCTGATGGTGGTGACCAGGGAACAGAAGAACAAGGAAATAATGTAGGAGTCCATGCAGCACAAAAGCACCATTGTCGAAACACTGAGGTTGGAGCCGGTGGATTCTCCATTGCAGATTTTTCCAGTCAGTGTATAATGAAATAATAAATCGAATTTGTGGTTTATGAAAAATTAAATGTTTGGAGATTTTGCTTTTTCTTTCTTAAAAAAAAAAAAAGAAGAAGACTGAAAATCACCCTCTAGGGCCTGTTCTGGTCCAAAGCTGAAAATGCTTCCTGCACATCACATGTAATTGTTAACAGGCTCGCTTGTGGGTCGGCACCACAAAACCACTATTGTCAGTTCCGGGAGCCTGGACCACTAACTGCCTGGGCTGGCCTAGGAGATAGCAAGTCAAAGAAAGGATTTATGAGCTACAGCTAGAGATGAAAGGTTTGAATAAAGGAAGGAAGATGGGCCAAAGAGAGAAGACAGGAAAAGTCAGGGAAGTATGTTAAGTCTGCAACCGTCTTGTTTTTCTAATCTCCGACCATGTAATTGGGATTATTTATGACCATTTTTTTTTTTGGAAACATTTTCATTTGAAGAGTGAGTGAGTGTGTATTGTGTGTTAGGGCTGGTGACCTGACCGGGAGATGAGTTGAAATAATCCCTTCCAATGAATAAATAGGTTAGCCTTGTGGACTGCCTTAAAAGGTCTGTAAACTAGTTAGTTTTAATCAGCCACTGGTAGAGAAGAGAAACAAGAGAAGGGGGGTAAAGCTGTAACATATTTGAAGTTCTTGGGTTGTTTGCTTTCTCTTTCAGACCCACCCTGTGGAGGTCGTTTGAATTCCAAGGATGCTGGCTACATCACTTCCCCAGGCTACCCCCAGGACTATCCCTCCCATCAGAACTGCGAATGGATTGTTTATGCCCCTGAACCCAACCAGAAGATTGTCCTCAACTTCAACCCTCACTTTGAAATCGAGAAGCATGACTGCAAGTAAGCACTATCCCAATCACTGTCATATCTACGAGAGTAACACTACCCACCTGTCCTCCCCTACACTCCTGCTTCTCTGCCGTCTAATGTCAGGGGACAACTCTAATCAATGGTACATCCTGGTCCCGGGGCAGGGGGGAACATCCACATGACTTTCTTTTTCAAGGTGAAATGAGCCCTCGCTTGATAACCATTTGCCCTCGAGTCAGTTCCAGCTCATAGCAACCCCATTTGTGTCAGAATAGAACTGTGCTGTATAGGATTTTTAGAAGCAGATTGTCAGCCTATTCTTCGGAGGCACTTTCCAGTGAACTAGAACTTCCAGTGTTTACCTTAGCCGTCCAGCGTGTTAACCATTTGCACCATGCAGTGACCACCTTCTTGGCTGGAACACTCTGTCTTAGTTATCTAGTGTCGCTATGACAGAAGCATCGCAAGCGGATGGCTTTAACAAACAGAAATGTATTCTTTGACAATTTAGGGAGCTAGAAGCTCAGTTCAGCTCTAGGGGAAGGTCTTTGTCTACTTTCAACATCTCTGGGTCTGGTCTTCTTGGAGATCTCCATGTGTCTTGGCGTCGATCTTCCCCTGGGTCTAAGAGACTCTTAGTATGGGGGCTCTGAATCCAAAGGACACGTTGTTTGTTCCTGGATTTTCTTTCATAGTGGTAGTTGTTGTTAAGCGCCATTGAGTTGATTCTGACTCATTGCAACCCTGCATTGGGTTTCCAAGGAGCAGCTGGGGAATTTCAACCACCAACTTTGTGTTTATAAACTGACCTTGTGGTCCAGTGCCTCATCCCATGGTGCTATACCAGGACTCCTTAATGGTCTCCCCCACCCTTTTTTTTTTTTTTTGCCCACTTCTCTCTCCATGTATCTTTTGTAAGATAAAAGATGATGCAGACCACACTCCAGGGAACTCCCCTTTCCTGAGGTCAGGACTGTGGCTTGAATGAGAAATATTGTAACCCACCCTGGTTCCCTTACAATCGCTTGGCTGATCACATCATATAGCATCGTGGGGAATGATTACATCATTTCATCACTGCCAACTCGCTGACAATCATGGCCCTGCCAAGCAGACACAATTTCATCTATGATACACCCTATCTGTGAAGTCTGGGGCTGGAGGGAGATTCCCATGTGGTAGCAGAAAGGTGGACTTCACAACCCCATTTCTTGACTTTAGAATTTACTTTCCATTGAAGACCTCCCCATATTCCATTGCTGCGGTTACTGCTGCATATAGGAACCCCTCCAGCTTTGTTTATAAAATAGTAGCTAGATCCCAAGTAGAGACTTCCTTTACTTCCAGTCTAGGAGGTTCAGGCTGTTATTTTACAAAGAGGTGGCTTGTTTCCATATAGAAAGAGAGGATCAAACATCTCGGTCTACATTAGCCAGTCAAAGATTCAGACTGATTCTTGATATCCGTCCGTACTGCACAGATTAGAGTCCCAAAGCTGGTCTGATGGATTTATTTAACAAACACTGTTTTAATTGCTTTGCAAATATCAATCCATTCAATTCTCACAGCGGACCTGGGAGGCTGGTGCCATTACTACCTCTGTTTTACAGGTGAGAACTGAAACAGAGAACTTAAGTAAGTTACCTGAGATGACTCAGCTGGTCTTACAAGTTCTTTTACAGGACATATGTGACTTAGGAAATACCAAGTGGGCATTGGGATGTTGAGTGCTTTAGAAATGCTGCTTTAGCAGACGAGCAGGCAGTGTGGAAATGTCAAGAATATGGATGCCCTATGTGCTGTTTAGAGTCCGGGTGTGGCTCTGTGGGTTAATGTGCTGGACTGCAAAGTCAGTTTGAACTGCAAGGTTGGTGGTTCAAGCTCACCAGCCGCTCCTCAGAAACCCTATACAGGGTTGCTGTGGGTCAGAACCGACTAGACGACACTTAACAACAACAGCAATGTAATATTTGGAGTCCTGGTGTGGTGCTGTAGGATAAGCGCTGGACTGATAATTACAAGGTCAGCGTTTTAAGCCCACCAACCATTCCTCAGAAACCCTATACAGGGTCGCTATGAGTCGGAACTGACTCAACGACACTAACAACAACAACCAATGGTTAATACACTGGGCTGCTAAATGAAGGTTAGACATCCCACCTTGAGACACCTGGGAAAAAAACTGTGGTGATCTACTGCTGAAAAATTAGCCACTGAAAACCACATGGAGCACAGTTGTATTCTATTCTATTCTGTATGAGTTGGGGGTCAACCCAAAAATTATGGTTTTTGTTATTGGATTTTATCTGTCTAGTGGCCATATTCTTAAAGTCATTCCTCATTGAAACAAAAGCAAGAGCTTTCTGTGCAAAAAGAATGTGCCAACAACCATGCTTTGCTCCAAACAAGCACCTACATGGTGCCACAGCTCCAATAGGTGTTCCTTGTTCTCATCTGATTGGTAGTTTGAGCACTCCTTGTAACCAAGGCAGTGGCATTACTGAAAATCCAAAAAGGGGGCCTGCTGGTGAGAAAGGCCCAAGGAGCAGCGAAACCCCTAGCCCTTATTTCAGAGTGGGCCGTGTAGAGAAAACAAGCCCCCCTCTTTAACTAATGTTACACTGTGAGGCTCAGTGAATCAATGGCATTATTATCCTCCTAGGACTACTTAGCACCGACACAATGGGTTTCTCCTAACCAGAGGTAGTCTTTGTTGAAAACCAAAGGTTTTTTTTTTCCCCCCCCAATGGGTGCCTCATGTGACTAAGAGTCACAAGATGAAGTTTCTAATCCCAGATCCACTCTTGACCCAGTGGATGACATAGGGTAACTCTTCAGTTCCTCTTTGTCTCAGTGAAATGCACACATTAAATACATTTGCCCAGCATCTGCAGGCTTCCAAGTCCCTGATGGTGAATTTTACCAAGTATTCCTGTTTGAAGAGCTTCTTTAGAAGGTGTTTTTGGTCGTGTTTCCTCTGGCTGGGCTGCAGGGTTGGCAGACACTGAAATCTAATGTACAGAGAGCTTGGGGCTGAGTTCAGAGAAATTTGACTAAGCACCTCTTTCGGAGGAGGGCCAAATTCTGTTATGCTTATGCCAGCAAATCTCCCATATCGCTAAGAGGTCATCTCATGTATATTCATCATGGCTGAGGAGGGAGGCACAATTTTCAGAAGGGAACTTCAGGAGCTAGTTGAATCTGGTTTAAAACATGTTGAAAAGTTTTTAAAGCCAGAAAAACATGCTCCTGGCCTGCTTTGGGCTGGAAGGTAAGCTTTCCCTTCACATGCCTCAGCCCTCTCAAGCCTCTGACAGCAGTGGTGGTGGTGGTGTGATGTGCCATGGAGTCGGTTCCAACTCATAGCGACCCTGTACAGGATTTCCGAGGCCATAAATCTTTACGGGAGCAGAAAGCCTCATCTTTCTCCCGCAGAACAGCTGGTAGTTTCCAACTGCTGATCTTGAGGTTCGCAGCCCGATTCCTAACCACTATGTTACCAAGGCTCCTTTATGACAGCAGTAGGGACAGAGAAGTGTCTCTTGCTGAGGTTGGAGTAGATGAATTGCAGGTTACCTTGGAGGTAACCACTGTTAGTAAGTACCTTTCTGTTTTCTTCTCAATACCCCATTTCTATGCTTCTGGTGTGCACCTAGAGGGTCAGGAAGATGAGAAAAGAAATCATTTTTGGGGTGCATTTCCTCTAAAGCCTCAGCTGTCCGAAAGGCTCTGTTGGGATTTGGCCTCCATGACCTAACCTCATCCTCTATTTCCCGTCTGATCCCTAGCTTCTAGTCCACTCCTCCTTCCTTTCTTTCTTATTCATATTTATGTTTAGAAAGACACGTCTGGTTCTTCCCACTTCTCCCGCCTCACAGTATTATTTTTTAACATTGTTGTCTGGTCATGTGCAATCTGAATAAATTGGCTTCTCCTTCCCACGGCCTTGTTTCACTTGCTCATGAAAGGAATGATTTAACCTAATGGAAGTCCTGGAAGGTCTGTCTTGTTCTTGCTTTTTTCTCCCTCCTGCCCTCCCTAGGTCCCTCCCTCCCTTTCTCTTCATTTTTGTTCCATGGGAGCTCCTGGGTTTACAAAACACTATCAGAAGAGACGAGCCTCCTTTCTCCTTTCATTTCGGGGGCATGTTTCAAATTGGATTTTGGCTCTCCAAGTCCATAGGGTGGATACTTTTCAAAAGAAAATTGCCTAAACCGTCCTGTTGATGACAGAACACAGCAGGAACATACTAGCAAAAAACGAGAAATGAGTAAGGAAGTCAGACCAAAAAAGGGCCATTCCAGCCACAGAGAAAGAAGAGTGGTCAGCATTCCTACCCTCAGGTTTTCCTCACTTCTTAGCTGCAGGATTAGCAGCAAAGTTGGCCTCCTGACCTGGGAACAGGGCCCTGGGAGGAAAAGCTGATCTGTTTGGGGCATTGACTCCTAAGCCCTTCACTCTCTGTACCTTGAAGCCTACATTCCAAAGGTCGCGAAGGCTGTTGCTGAATAAACCCCAGACTGCCATTTCTTTCTAAGGGCCATTTGTTAATTCTGTTCCGTTCAAGCTTGCTGTCTGCTTGGAAATTTTCACTCACCAGCCTCAGCTTTGCCTGAATCAGGGCCACCATCTCTGGTGAGCCTCCACTGACTCCTCCCTCCAGCCACATGTGAAGATCCCAGCCCCCAGTGCCCACAGGGAGCTCCGGAGACTGTTCTCCAGCTGCAGGCAGGATCTGAGGCCACTGGGTCCCTGCCAAGGCCGTTTGGCTGAGGGACAAAAGGGCAGTCTCAAGGCTGGCTGGACACACACAGGGAGAAGCCACTTGGTCCCCCTTGGTGGTGATGAGACTGCTGCCGCTTCAGCCTGTCGCTTGAGTCATCAGCCCACAGTCTGAATGTTCTGGTTTTAGAAACACACAAAGTTGAGTATTTTTTCCATTTCTGAAATTAAAACTGTATGTGTTTAACAAAAACAAATGCTGACCAACATATGATGCACAACTTATTCACGAGTCCTCAGCAAGGTGT